TACCACTTTGTTCTCCCTCTTTATGCAGGATCTCCTACATCCCTTCCAAGTGGATGGCAGTGGTAGCTGGGCACCATCTAGTTCTTAAGGTGATGTCTTTAAGTGATGTCCTTTTCCTTTCTCCCGCCCTCATCAATGTAAACACTGTTCAAACACCTCTCTCTTCCTGCCTTGTCTGTATCCAGGAGATGGTTCACTCAAAAAAAATACCAAACCCACTGCCGTCAGGTCATTTCTGACCCACAGTGACCCCCACTGAGTTTCTGAGGTGGTCCGTCTTTACTGAAGCACATTGTCCCATCTTCCTTCCACCTAGCGGCTGGTGGGTTTGAACCGCCAACCACGACTTGGCAGTCGGTGCCCTAGACCCTGCCCCACCGAGGCTCCTTATACACCAGACTACAAATGAACTTCACACTGCTTCCTCCCGAGTGAAGATAACTAGCACCTAGGAAACAAAGTGGGCAATCTACTTCCTTAGAGATACCGCCTCGGACACCCAAGGAGGGCTCACTAGGAGTCGGAACCGACTCGAGGGCAGTGGGTTTGGTTTTGTCTATACTGGGCCGTAAAATCTTTGGAGACGTAGCTTCCAGGTTGCGGTGTAGACGGTAGGCAAAGCTCCTCAGCTTTTTTCACAAGGTAACTTCTTTTGAACAGTGAGTTAAGTGTATCCTTTCACATGCTACGATATGCCAGTCAGGGGTAGTTTTCATTTGTCTTTTTTTTTTTTTTTTAATGGTCAGTCTTTTTGAAAAATAACGTTCCACAGGCACCCCCTTGCCCTCGCTCCCCTGCCATGGTGGGGCAATGGTTACGTTGTTATGTCCAATAGCATTGCTGTGCTGGGGTGACGGGGGGTACAGCAGTCGTTCTCATGGGGTTTGGGGGAAGAAGAGAGAGGGAGGGCTTGCCTCCCAGGAGAAACATGGTGCTATCTGGAGACATGTTTTGGGGTCCCTGCGTGGTGCCAAAGGTTGACCATGCTGTCCAAAAGGTTGGTGGTCTGAGACCACCCAAGGCACCTCAGGAAGGAAAACATGGGGAATCTATGGTAGAAAAGTTAGCCATTCAAAACTCCATGAAGGGAAGCACTGAGTTCACGTGGAGGTGGTGGAATATTTTGGAAAGGGGTCATGATAATGGCAGTCCACCATGAAAAAGGCCATCATTGCTGTCACCGAGTTGTAAGTGTGGACGCTGTTGCGTCTGCAAAGGTTTGGGTGTGGACATTTTATCACAATGGTATGTATTATTCTATAATGTAACACTGTGGTCAGTCTATACATATGTGTGTTGTTCCATGCTGTCCACTCGGTTCCAACTCACAGTGACCCCAAGTAACACTGCCTGGTCCAGTGCTGTTCTCACGTCGCTGCAACGTTGGAGCCAGTTGTTGGAGTCACTGTGTCAGACTTTTTCAAAATTGAGGGTCTTCCTCTTTGTCATTGACCCTCATATGTTGTTGTTGTTGTTGTTGTTAGGTGCTGTTCAGTCAGCTCCAACTCATAGCAACCCCGTGTACAACAGAATGAAATACCGCCGGATCCCGCGCCAGCCCCACAATCCCTGCTCTACCTGAGCCCATCATCGCAGCCATCATGTCAATCCATCTCGTTG